GCAACCAGTGGTTCCAAAGACTAAAACCATAGACTTAGAATCCCTGGTTCCTTACATAGTGGTAACCGGGATCCACTGGGTACGGCTTACTTCAAATGGGTATCTCGGACTCCAATCTCAACCGAACGCAAACTCAAAAATCGACCTCGGGGACTCTGTCCATCAGGAAAAACGGAAACCAACCTTCCAATCTGCAAAACAAACACCTGCCAAACACAACAGCAAGTGGCCTTTTTTTTTACCTGTCTTGACTGCTGGTCTGGCGCAGAAAAGATCTATAGACCGATAGACCCCCTTAGTTTGCCTAGGAAATCAACGGATAACCTTTTCCAACTGTTGGGTCTGAGTCTGTAGTGCGTTTTTTTTTTTAAGCACTAACCCCGTGCCAAAAAGCTTTAGCGGCTCAAGGTGATCGACATACCGAACCTCAGAAGGTGAGCAGGGAGACTATTTATATATATCTAATTATGTAGGTGCCAGGGTCGGGTCCAGTCGTACAACACCTGAGAAGGGTCCGTGGTGTTAGGGATCCACTTTTCTGATCTGTTCCTCCTGGATCCTAGGTAGAGTCCTAGGTAGCTCCAGATGCTCCAAAAATGCTATTGCGATCGGACGTACCTCGCTCCTAGCTCCTCGTCCAGACCTATCCAGACCCCCTTTTGTGATGGACTGGACCGGGTACCATGCATTTGTTCCGGTTTTGGTCCGGCGTTTGGGTGGTACTACGGTGGTACCGTATTTTTGTTGGTGTGGAGATTTGTGGTTTTGAACGTACGTATTTTCTCTTCCAATCACTGCCCGATTCCAGGGGTGACTTCAGGCATTCCAGGGGCCCTCAGATTCTCAGTCATCCTTTGCATTTACAGTGGTTTCAGAGTAGATGGCACAAACCCAAAGAGGTCCTTTATATATTGGGGCTCCTCATAAACCACCAAACTTGGGGATTGCGCCAGTCCGTGGTCCTCAGAAACCGCCTGATCACCTGACTCACCTGCCGGGTCGAATGGCACCACCTTCCAGGTCTTTGGAGCGTCCGAGAGTCAGCCGTGCTCTGCCACTCCCGTGAGCGTCCGCGACTGGTTCTGAACCCCGAGCTCGTTGCCACCGGTCTTGACGGAGAAAAACACCGGTCTTGGATTTGCTTTCCAGTAACCTGGAAAAAATGAAAACATAATAAATAATATCACCTGATCTGCAAAACCAGGAAGTGCCACAACGGTGTTTGTGCAGTAAAACCCTGCATTCGGACGACCTGGCGAGCTCAGAACTTGAGCATCCAAACACCAAAGCTCCAAATTTCCAGTGTGAAGGCTTGTCTCAGCCCTTTCGCATCAAAGGTAAGGAGTTGGAATCCCGACGTTTCCAATCTTCCATTGCAAGCTAGCGCAAGCACTAGCGCAAGGTGGGTGTTGGAGGTATACAGACATAGGTGACAACCCATAAAATATATTGTCAAAGCATTGGAGTTCTGTCAAAGTCACCTTATATGGGTTGTCACCTATGGGGGTGACAAAGCATATTATGCATATTAGCAATCTTCGATCACTACATACTGTAGTCCTACAAAGCATTGCGGGTCTGTCAAGTTTTCTGTTAGCTTGAACATGACTCCAGTATGGCTCCTGATTTCCTCGGTCGCTCAGTGGTTTGCATGTTTGTTCAACCACGCACCTTTGTGGCGAACGAAACAATCTCGTACCCAGGGCCGTTGACTTTTTTTTGGGGGGGGTCGAGGCCATCGCTATTAGGTTGGAGGAAAAAAGTAGATCCCTTTAGCAATAGGATTCCAACAATGATTTCGATCAAGGTGTAAAAACACAAAAGGACCTGCAAACTCATCATCAGCATCACCACAAAGAGTCGGTCAAAATCAGCTGTTTCCCCCAGCTTCTACATCAGAAGTGTGTTCACGTCTGTCTGTCCCTAGCGTCTTCTGTGCATCTCCAAGGCTCAAAAAGCGCACACTCGCGGGGCACCGACTCCTCTCTGCTCCACACAAAGATATTGATCCATCAGCGGTCCCGACATGGACCCTGCATTCGGCCAGCGATGAGATGTCAGCCAGTCTAGAAATCCAACATGAGAACAACAGTGTCTGTGTGTTTAGCTGCTAAAGAGGCAAAAGTTCGCAATGAGCCCAGGACATTCATCGGCCTCCAACGAGTCAGACACGAAGAGTTCAACACGTCCAACATCGCAAATCCCCGACTCCCTTTCGGGCGGAGGTCGTCATGGACAAAGCAACCTCGATGTGGAGACCAGTTCGCTTCAGTTTCCTTCGGGACAGGAGACTAAGCAGCAGGAGACTTGTTGCACTTCAACAGCTTTGGACGCCACATCGAACTCAGTAAACTTCGCACCAAATCAGGACTTGGCCAGGGAAAAAGGTATCCGAGCTGATTTGTTTGTCGGGATCAACATCCGCTGTTCTTAAAAAACAATTTTTTTTGTGGGTGCTCGTGCTAGACCCAAACCAACATAGGAACCCACAGTGAGCACTAAACAATTGTTGCAACATGTGTCCTCTTCCAGCTGATTGCTATGTTGACTTGTGGGTAGGTTTAACGTGAATCACAGGCCAATGATGTCAACTATATGACATATATATATATTTTTTAATATACATATCAATCTGTCTGTACCTAGCAGTGTCGCCGAGCCAATGAATTGTAGACGTTGAGGTTCTTATAAGTGCATGCCAATAGAAACCCTGCAGCACTTGCTGAGTCGTTCTTCACCGTGAAACAGTGCAGGTACACAAAGAGCACAGGTGGCACACTGTGTGGCATGGTGCTCTTGGGTTCAGAAAATGGTCAGAGTGTACTTCCCTGGGCAAGTTAGTCTTGCCAGTCGACCCCCTTGGGGGGGGGACCTGGTTCGACAACAGGCATGGCCTGGGCAAGTTTGATTCGTCGTGTGCCACGGCATGGCCTGTCGCCTGCTGTTCTGAGCCGATCCAAAAATATCTAAGCATATCCAAACATAACTAGTGAAAATTCTGAACTCAATTCCCAAATGGTGGTTTATACCAGGACCCTCAAGGGGTGGTTAATGGACACCCCGAATTCCCGAATCACAGCTAAGGGGCTATAAATCGTATAAATAGACACCCCACGGTGTCGGGTCCTGGTATACAGTAGTTAGTTCAGCGTGGCCGGTCTTTAGGATTTGAGCGGGTTCTGAGGGGGCCGTATTTGGTGATGAATTAATTACATTACGAATTACTGGCTCAGCCAGTCGAACAGCTATTCCAATGGAAGCGGTGCGCATTGGGAAAAACAACGATCCACCAAAGTCCAGTCTTGCTGGCAGGACACAGTCCTTGTTCCAAGATGTTCCAAGGAGGGATCAACAAAACTGCGTGGGAAATGATCAACCAGATACCCGACGCACGCAATACCCTCCCAGCAACAAACATGGTTCCGTGGATGGCACCCCTGTTTGTAGAGAATGACCTTTCCAGGGGCCAGGACGTCCACTTCCACCATGAGGATGTTGGAGAGAGGGTACGTAGCCATGTTTTGACGGCTACCTGGATTGTCCGACTTCCCCATGTTATATTGGAGCCCCATGTTATATGGGAGGGATGGTTTAGGCATGTTTGATGCACCCAGGACTCAGCCGCAGAGGCACGCCAGGCCCATTCGTCGCCAAAGATATATCTCCGACGTACAGCGACATGCAGCTCAGCTGATTGCTGGATCGCGTGAAAAAGCCGATGTTTCAGGTTTGGTAATATCAAGGTCTACACTGCCTTAAATAGATGCTCCATGGGACTGCCATATGTGCCGATCAATTAAGGTGGTGCCAGGGGGTCAATGTAGAAGTGCATGGCACCACCTGTTTGTCAAGGAAAGTTGTCTTTCCAAGAGGGTGGATGGCACCCTCTCTCATGATCTTCTGACCAGACCAGCTATATAAACAAACCAAACCCTCAGGCCCCAGTCGCCTGGAAAATAAGAGGTCCATCAAGTTTGTTGCAAACACCCAACTTACACATCAACAAATAGATAATTAAATAGATCCAGCATGATCCAGCTCTATCTTTCTCTCTCTCTCTCTCTCTCTCTCTTTCCGCACAAAGAGTTCCATTATGTTCCATTTTGGGGTTGTTTTTGTTGGAACCCTTGACACCTGAGCGAGTGGATGTGAGTGGGGGGGGCCTCCCCGGAATACTCCACTCTTCCATGGTGCCGCACCCCAATTGTATCTGAATCCCATTCCCTGGGCCAGTTTTGGATGATGATGGGGCCTGGCTGCAGGCCTTTCCCATCTTAAAAACGACATGATGTGCCCTTGTATTGACTATAGGTCATGAGGTCATGGGAGACACACCAGCTGCAGCTGTGGGTACACACCCCGTTTTTGTTGCTTCACCAGACCCTTGTAGCGATGTTGTTTTTCTTGCTAGAGATTTTATTGGGGCCTTGGGGCCCGCACAAACACTTGGATTTGCTTGAGGAACCTGGATTTTGTTTTTGTTTACAGTTTAAAAAAATAACAAACATTGACCCATACGGAAAATCGAAACAAGACCCGATCTGCAAAACCAGGAACCTGGTCGCCTCTCCACTGAGACGTGCATGAGCCATCGTCTTGCAGGGTAGCACTACACAATAAGTCTTCACCCAAAAACTATCGCTGACCACTCGGCCCATGAGAAATGTCTTTTGTTTGATCTTCCGCAGGTCCAGGTGCTATCGGTGCTATCCATGGAGGAAGTGGCCCGGTCATATCCATGGCCCCTGGATGGGCCTTAAAGTCCATCTTGGCATTGAATTCCTAGACGTGTTCTTATTATCTTATCCTCCTGCGCTACCTGTCCAACTGGAAGAAACCTTTCGCCATGCCTTCGGCTTCAGCCACAAAGATGGGACCACAGCCGCTGGGCCCCACATACATCCAACTTAAAAGAAACACATACAGGTTTTCTGGAACCTATGTGAGATTATGTCAGTCACCGCCCCTGCTACTGATTCTACTTGATCAAAGTATGCAGAAGTTCGACACCATCTCTTCCAGGGAGCTCACCTCGGAAGCTCCTTTTCTCGCCTGAATCATCGATTCCCGCTTTCTCACCGCTCAGCCCTCGCCCTCGCCCGTCTGAAGCCGCTCCGCGCGCGGGCTCTTCCGCTCTAGGGACACGTCGCGGAGCTCTCTGGACGTCTTCACGATCCTTGGACTTGCCCAGGAAACGAAAACAAAACAAAACAACATGCTAACACATCTATTCCCCATGAAGGGGATTTGTTTTTCCCATGCGACCATGCGACCCTAGAAACATCACCACTGTTACAGCTCGTGCCGGGGCTCTGAGCGAGCTCGTCGATGTGCCGCGACATCGTGGGCGTGGTGGCGGAGGAGCTCGGCAGAGGCGACTTGCCCCTTGTGATGGACCGCGAGACTGAGACCTCAATCAGTGCCGAGACGCCCTTCCACGAATCCCGGGTCGACCCGGGAGATGACCCGACGACCCGACGACCCGGACGGAGGTCGGAAGGCGAACATCGTCGCCGAGAGAAAATGGGACATGACCCGAACAAGAAGAGAGGTGCATTGCACCCATGTTCTGAGGTATGAGCTGAGACTCCAGGTACATTTTGACTCCAGGTCCCACCCCTGAAGCAGAGTGTGTCTGAGTGAAGACATGCGAGACATCCAAGCAAACGTGTGTTCTCTTCGAGGGTCGGTACAATCCGAAGATCCTCCTGATGGTGCAAACGACTACACCCTAGGGCTCCTGGCCTACCTCTACTTCCTGCGAAGGTGGTTATAGGGTAGGTGCGAGGGGAGTCTAAGCACCTTCTGAGGGTATGGTTGGAGCCCTGCGGATGGGTTGTGGAAATCTCCGAGGGCGTTTTAGAAGCAGAAGGAGCAGCAGAAAATTTGGCAAATTAACAAAAAAACGAAAGGGAAGGAGGAAGGGACAGGGAGAGAGGACAAGAGTGCAAAGAAAAGATGAGGAGGGGAGGGGGAGTGGGAGAGAGCAGAGAGGGAGAGAGGACGAGAAGGCAAAGGAGAAGGAGAAGGAGAAGGAGAGGTGGACTATAGGGTTCGAGTTTGGCTTAGGTTTTTCTACATTTAGGATGTCTTTGGCCTTGGAGTTTCACTTCTTTGGGGTTTCCTTTCGGGGCATTTCACCGTCGAGTGACCACAGAGGTTGGAATGAAAAAGCACAAGCAAGCAAAAAGGCAGAAGCGATTTCGCTTCTAAGCAACATCAGCAACAAAATAAGCGAAAGCAGCAAAAGTAGAAACTAAAAGCAACACATCACACTACTGGAAAAAAAAGTAACAAAAACTCTGGTTCTCTTGGGATAGTAGGCTTAGAGGTAAAACGCAGTGCTCCGCCGGTAGATGTTGAGTGGAGAAAAACACAAATTCTCCCAAAGTTCTGCTTGGCAGGTGATTCAAATGACGACACCTTGCAGCGAGGGGCAGGGCTCTTGGAGTTCAACTTGGGCTCGATGGCCCGGATCTCTTTGCCTCGCTGAATGGGCTGAATGATCCATTCTTCGCAGGACTGAATCGATGCCTTTCTTCGCGTAACTGTGGAAGGAGGAGGTCTTCATAAAAAGCGCTAACACCTAGCTCATCTTCAGTGAACTCAGAACCACTTGAACATACTACGAATCGAACTATAGTTAACACCTATAGCTGCAAGTGTCAATCACTCCACTTCCCAAAGGCACACCGTCAACAAGCACGCATGTCACACCCTGAAAACCCAACAGAACCCCATGGCACTCTCCGTCCGCAAAAAAGAAACTGGTCCGGCTCTTGGAAATCGGGTGTGCCGGGGTACAGGAACGGGTGTTGTCCTGGGTCTAGAATCGGATGGTTGTCCATGTACCCAGTGATGGTGTTTGATGCTCACCACCATGGGATTTTAAGGGTTCCAATCCGGAAGAGAACCCTTAGTTAATTAGGGAATTCAACATTAATTACGTCATATTTACACCACAAAAGTAGGTCCACCACTTCTGGAATGGCCAAACGGCAGGCGACCGGGTCAACACATTTATCAGTTCAACAGGAGGGTCGAGTCTACTATGCCACTTCTTCGCAGAAAAGCTTCAAAGACGCCCACCAAAAGACCCTTGCGACGGTTTCCAGGAGCGTCGAACAGACTACGGAAAAAGGATCGGCGACAGACTCCATGCTCTTCCGCCCAGGGGCGGAGATGGTGGAATTCTTGCGCCTCGGAATGCGTCGCGACTTCTGCGCCATCGGCGTGTGAAGGACGACGAAAGCAAACACCGAAGTGATCGAGTGAGACGAAGGTCGACGACGAAAGACGGAGGAGACGAAGGGCGTTTGGCGACAGAACTCCACCGGTTCTTGCTGAGGAAACCTATGTCCCTATCCCTCAAAAAGGTTTGATGTTGTCCACTGGTCCCAGAGATGTATTATACTGTATATGCCTGAAGTGTCCTGTTCACCCCAAGGAAGACCATGCTCTGGTTTCGTTAGGACACACCTCCAAAACCGTTCGACAAGGAGGTACCTGGACCCCAAAAGGGAATAGCTTTTGGTTCCAACACATAGGGTCCACGCCCGAGTCCACCCGCATGGACCCCTCCTGTAGAGGTGGTCAGACGGTCTCCAAACGACGTCGACATCCGTGAGGACGTCGAATGCTCTTCCATCGAATCTTTCAGCGACCGGAATGCGAAACGTCCCACCCGTGCATCGAGACATCCGTGCCGCGGAATTGCGAAGTTCGATGGCGAATCCCGGAGCGGTGATCCAATGGACTTCCAATGGACAGCCACTTTTGGTAGATGACAACGATTTTATTGTTTGTTATAGTGGCTATCATGTTGATTTTTGGGTAGCGATCTGAAGTCACCAGTCCAACGGCTGTGAACATTTTGCGGGGTTCAGAAAAGAACAGTGCTTCACTTCACGATGTTTACAAGTCAATGACGTCATGAAATAATCACGTTAGTCATACAAATTCGCGATTCAAAAAGGTAAAGGACCAGGTTTGGACCTGGGCTGGACTTGTAAGGAATGGCGATTTTACGTGCGAACATCTTTGAAACACATCTAGTTTTGGATGGTTTGCTTGGACCTTACGCAAATCATCCCAAAATTTCACAGGGTTGAGACGTTAAAGCAGCAGACTTCTTTCACTTTCACCAGTTTCCTTTCAAGGCCCAGTTCCCTATTCTGGGTCTTGAACAAGTGTTTCATGATGTTTCATGATTTGGCGGTTCTCCCACTGAACACACTTGATCAAAGTTGCCACGTTCTCCCACTGAAATGTGTGCCACGAACTGCGAACCCGCTGGTCTTCCCGAATCAGCTGGTCTTCTGAATTGGCTTCAACTGGGCTTTGTTGGAGGTCCTCAACTGATGATCTGTCAAAAGCTCTACAATCAAACCAGTGATGTCCTTTTGGGGAGAATAGAGGGGTCGGTGCCTGGCAGTGCCTGGTACCATGAACATCTCTTGATTGTACACGACCATTGACCTAACCTCTCGAATTCATCCACCAACTTAATGAATCAAAGGCCATCTGCCTGACTTCCTCAGACGTCTGAGGAAGTCTGACTGCCACAGAAACGATCCGTGGAGTCTGACAGATCTGCACAGGTCCCAAGGGGGGCTCAGGGTTGTAAAGCGCCGTTGGCGGCGAAACATCGGGCGATTTGATGCCTCAGGTCCGCCTTGATAGATCGCAGCTAGGGAGCCACATGAGTCTGGAACTTGCCCAAGTTCTTCATCAGCCAAGTCTGCCGCGCGTTGTTCACGTGCGCGCGTGAACGTGCGCGCGTGAAGATGCGGGAGCTCGTTGGGGGGTCTTCTGTCTCATAGACTGGTCGCGTACGTTGAGTGTCCAATTTACAAGACACGTACTCTTCTTCAAGACAGCAAGACCAGTTCGTCTAGATGTTCACAGTCTAAAGAAAACACCTATATATAATATATATAACTAAAACAAATCTAGGTGAGGATTACTCTGAAGATTCTTTCAAGTACTAAACAGCACGATAATCTACCTTCCTGGTATCTCCTCTGCGTCTTTTTTTGGCATGTCAAGCATCTCGGAACCCGACTCGGAAGCTGCCAGATCGGTCGGTCGATCTGGGTGCTTCTTCCGTCACCAAGCCTCGCCGTTCCCGAAAAGAAATACCCCAATTGATGACCTTCTTACACCTTTACAGTAGTTTTAGAGTAGATGGCACAAACCTAAAGACTACCTTTTGGGGATTGTGCCACCTACTCTGAAAACACTGTATATATATAGATCTTACCCAGAAGTAAGACCCATACATAATCATACATACATTATAGTAATGATTGAAAAACCCATGGAATCACGATACCTGGGAAGTCACGATACCTGGAAATCCCCAACTGGCTCGCCCCTTGTTTTGAAGTCACGATTCCTGGACTGGTTCGCTGGGGATTTGATGATCCACAGATCCCGTATACCCACAATCGGGATCTAGAACAAATGCATCTTTCTGAATTAAACAGACATGAATCACCTGGACACCATATGCGGCATTGCTTGGAACATTCAGTGTGGAATATTGTGAATCACCATGCAGTTGCAAAGACCTCTTGTTTTCAAACAATCCAAACAACACACAACAACCTCCCTGAGTTTCAGAACATCGTCCGGGCGAACCTCTTTTCCCACCTCTTCTCTTGTTCGCAGTGGGCCACACCCCCCCCCCAATCCCCGACAGTTCCTCCAAGCCGTGCCCGCCACGGAGGCGACGGAAACGGAGCGACGCGACGTCCGTCTGGGACTGCGGGACTGCCGAGTGGCACGGCCTTTCCCGGGGTGGTTGACTGGGTGGCCAATCCATGGAAGTGGATGGCACCCCCTTCTTGGGGGCCAATCACATCGTCGTTTTAAGGGGCCACTGTCCACTTCCATGATTGTCTCAGGGAGGGTATTCCTTTTCTGTGGTCAACCAGGGTTCCGGGGTGTTCACCTATAATTAGCCAACATTATCGTCCCAAAGCTGCAGTAGGCCATCCAGGAGTTCTGCAGGGTTGGGCTTTTGGACAGTCTGAGACCCTATGTTCCTTTCTATGTGTGGAGCATGGGTTTGGGCCTGCCTGCCCATGAATCACCCTTTTTTGGAACCATGTACACTCTAAGTGACTATGCAACCTGGAGGTCGATGGCATGGCCCTTTCTAGAAGCAAGGCTATTCAATTTGATGGTTTCTCTGTTTGTTCAAAAGGTGTACTTGGAACCGACAGTTCGTCTGACACTTGTCACGGCAGTTGGTCTTTTCAGGCGAACCATCCAATATCAAACATAAACAACAAACCCATAAATACACTCCATGGGACTGCCATAAATGCCGATCAATTGACCCCCGACTTCAACCACCCCTGGCCGTTCCTCGGTCCGCCAGTCCCATGGGTCGCGTCTGGGAAACAACCAATTCCAAAACGTCCGTGACGCTGGGCGGTCTTTCGAAAAACCATCGAAGACCCAACAAAAGAAATACTAAAACGTCGAAGCATAAACATGTCCCCAACAACTTAAAGTGGTCCCCCAAAAAATATAGATAGAAACGGTTTCCAATGCACCATGAGTGGGGATCTACTTTTAATGTTCTATATTTTAGGGTCTATATGCAGGAAGACATACCAACCTTCTTGCATCTAAATGCCTTCGCCCCGCCTGGTCATGCAGCAGCTTGCCCATATCAATGGCACTGGCTTGTCCTCGCAGCCTGGCGCGACCGTCTCCCCAGCCACGGTCGCGACACTGCTGTTCGAAGAGTCGAACCATGTTTGGTTACCAAACACCATGGACGTATACCCTAGGGCCCTAGGGATCCACACAGTCAGTACCGAAGTAGAAGTATTGGATCCCCCACGGTACTTCTTTCCACTGAGGCACCGCACCGGGGACGTTGCGTGGTCGGGTCCGGTTACGGGACCGAACCAGAGGTTTGGTACCTGGTTCCCTTTGGGGTGATCGAACGGTTGGCAGCCTGGCAAACACGTACGATTTTACAGCATCTTGACGTTGCTGACTCACAGGTGTTTTTGTTGAGACCCCCTTCCTTTTTCGATTGTTGTGTGATAAGATTGACCTTCCAATCCCAGGGGGTCGTGTCTGAGTGTTGAATCAGTAAGTCCCGGATCCCTGTCATTCTACTTCGAGGCTCAAAACGCAAACCGTGAATCGGTCAGAGGCTGAAACCAAAGCGCACGTCGTTTTGACATGTTTTGAGACTGGGGTCCAGCTGGGTAGGAAAGAACGTTCTTTTAAAGAACCAGTATGAACCAGTGATCCAGGTGCGCGATTCTGAAAACCAACAATTTCCAAGTAAAAAGAAAGAACTCTCTCTTTCTTCCTCTCTCTCGCTCTCTCTCTCTCTCTCTCTCTCTGGCTCCGGCACAGGCCGAAAAGACACTCCATATTCTGCACCCAATATTTTACACAATGCATGAAGCAGGCTTGAAAAAACATGGTGCAAAGTTGTGCAGACAATTGGCTGTAAGGGCAACTGACAGTCACAATTGGCCGCATAAATATATCTATAAGTCCCATGATCGATGCAATTTGTGCCCTTGATGACACACCAGGTTGATCCGGGTTCGGTAGTGGGTGCCGTTGTTACTTGATGTCAACCTTAGTCTCCTTATTGATACCCCACAAATTATGAATTAAGCATCAATTCAGGTCTCCTCTGAGTACCAGCTGCAGATGTAGCTTGATCCATCTCGCAGCAAAATCTCCACCAACCCTGCGTCACCCTGCGTCACCCTGCGTCACCCGCCCGTCACTCCACCCGTCGGTCGACCAACCGTCGACCCGACCGCCTCAAGCAGCCAAGGAGAAAGTCTTCCACCGCCACGTCTCCGGAGGCATCGTCGTCCAACAACTTGAAGAAGGACCAAGCCTCGGCGCCGACTCCGCGCGATTCGGCCGTTTCGACTCACCGCCACGCGCGCAGGCGGCGCGCGGGCGGCGTGTGGGTGACGTGGTAGCGGACCGTGTGATGTCCGATTGTCACACGGGTCGGACGGATGGTCCGAATTGTGTCCGCGTTTTGGGGGCAGCGCGTGTTTGGAGGAAACACAAAGAACACATAGTGGATGGGTGAATCAAAACGAATCACACATAGCTATTAATTGTACTCCTCAATAGAATCGAACACACAAATCCAAACACATGTACAAAAAACTTTGAAGCCAACAAACAGCCAAGGAATGAACCTCCAAAAACTATGGCAATTTTGGACTTGGCAGTAGATATTCCTACCACCATCTGTAACAACCTTCATTGTGAAGCTTCAGACACACCAGGAAGAAACAGCTCTGAAAGATTTAGATCAGTTCCACCAGGAACCCAAACGCGACCTCTCTGGGACTGGCCGTAATTCCCGATCAGGCCAGCGCGCGGTCTGTTTCAGGGGTAACCGGGGTGTTTGTGCCTCTGTCCCATGGAGTGTCTGGATCACCTGCAGTGCGCAGTCCAGTGGAACCCCGTCAGCTCCGTCCGATGCATCCAGTTCTGGCTCTGGTCGAAGCCACTGGGGGGAAAAGGCCATGGTAAAAAAATCAACAAGTGCAAAGAATAGATTGTTGGATGACTGTATAGGCCTGTATAGGGCATATCGGAGTGACCTTTGATACTCAATGTTCAACAGGTTCATGGCAAAATTGGCCAAACAAGGTGTCGGCACTAGTTTAAATATGGTTCGTCTGGTCGTATGGTACAAGGCTTTCAAACAACCCCCCTTCTGATTGCGAAGACCCAACCTGGATCTTCCAACCAAATTGGCACATGTCATTTTCCTCCGGGACGGGTCCCAAAAAACACCAGGTCATGACTCCGGGACACGTCCCCAACAAAAAGAAACCGCGGAAACCGCAGTATCGACGTCCGCGGTATCGACGTCTTTGGGACGTTCCGAGCGACGTCCCAAATGTCCAGGCCCAAGACTTCGAAGTATGCACGGACTTTCGGACAATTCATCCGGTCCTGGAGACCAGCGCTCCGGTCGGTCTCTATGTGGCCGAGGAGGTTGATCGGAATTTGACATGTGATCATAAGTTATGCTTTTTGTTCATGTCACGCAGGACGCAGGAAGCAGGAAGATCAAAAGCACACTGTTAGGAAAACCAAGGATTGGTCAGCTTGATTCAGCCTTGCCTACTACTCCAACCCTTGCCTAAGACTCCATGCTCATCTCTCAGTGTTGAGAGGTCAGGAAGTCCAACAAACATCTGGAGTTATGCCTGAATTACTTTAGAACCTTTTTCTACGAAGGAAGGACAGTACAAACGCACCATGTTTTGGGGAGAAGAGAGAATTCCCTACCTCACGTTTACAACTTTTGTTCTTTTGGGGTTACACCTCCTTTCTTTTTCTTGCGTTCGCTCACCCCAGAAGTTCCCTGAAGTTCCTCACCCCCGCCCGTCTCTTCGCTCAAAACCATGCGTTTTGACTCGTGGTGACTCTCACCTGAAGCATCTTGAATGTGATCGTCCCCGTGCACTGGTCGCCCAGAGTGGAAAAGAGGTGCTGCAGCTTCTCGCAATGGGCCTCCGTGCGAAGTGGCAGCGCTTCGTTCGCGCTGCTTCGTTCTCGTTTCTGGCGTTTGCGCTTCGGTTCTTGCTGCACGTGAACCGTGGTTGAGACTGAAATGAGGCTGAAATCAAAGTAACTATGGTGGCTTTAACAGGAAATGGGCGAGGCTGAACCCAAACGATGTGACTGGTTATTCATCTGATGCAATAATTCAAGTTCGACCCTACAGTAGTATTCGTCCCATCCTGCTTTCCAGTGCAGGAATTCTTCAGAACCAGGACCGAAGCAAAGAGGAGGATGGGAATGGACGGGATAACGAACAAAGACCAATGCTTCCACCGAACAAAGACGGGCTGCTTGTGCAACATCATGCAAAGGCTCCAAAAGGACATTATAATGCTATCATTGTAGACCCTTTATGTTGAACAACAACATGGAACGAAAAAGACCTCCTTGAGGTCCTGGGTGTTTGATTGATCAAGAGTCTACATCCACCTGGATGTTTTAAGTCAAGAACTGGTGTTTCAGCAGCATCCCGGCGCCGGCGACACAGCTGCAATAACGCCACTCCATGGGACTGGAAGATTGACCAATCACAGCCACTCCAGGTCCACCCCAATGCCTTGCCCTAGGGACAGGGATCCAGTCGTACCTTCTCAAACCTACATAACTGTGTCGAACACATCACCGTACCTGAGAAGGTACTTGGATCCCTAGGGTTGGCAAACCCTTTTTGGGGCTCCTTCCACTACCTCCGGTGGGTTTCGGCCGGGATCTAACCACCGTACCGGATGATATGGTCGGAACCCTACGGAATTATCACAGTCCCATGGAGTATCTGGGATAACCGAGGTTGATCTTTCAGATTCTTTGAAGGGAGTCCCATCCTTGTGGGGTTGAATTGTGCATCTTGCATGATCTGAAATGACCGACCCATGTTGTTGCAACACCAAAAACAACAAACACGTCCGATGACAAACCAATTGGGCAAGAAACCAATTGGTTTCTTGGGCTCTGTCTCTAAGAAAATCAACACTTAGTGGTCCAAACCGTTTGAGTTCCGTCAACACCAAACGGTCTGGTCTCCGCCGTCTCCGCCCGTCGGTCGATGTGTCAGTCGCATCGCTACGTTCGCTTCTTGTTACTAGTAAGGCACGTCCTTGCTACTAGTAGCGATGCACCTTGCTACTAATTTGTGTTTGGCACCTTCTTATTCTTCAAGACCGACTGCACCATCGCTGCCTGAGTTTGCAATTGAGAAGTTTGGGCTTCAAGCTAAGAAAACACATCTATCAAACGCCAGGTTGGAAACCCTCTGTGGACGATGTTTCAAAACATGTCATTTTTGAAACGGAATAATTTCCCAACCAAACGGCGTAAATTCCCAACCAAACGGTGAAATTGTTTAAAATCCTTTTTGGAGGGTTTGCAATTAATTAGTTTGAAGGCCTTCCTGCGCATTTTAGGCGAGCTTCCAAGAGAACACATGTATCCCACAAGCCTAAAATTGGCAACCCGCTGAAACGAACGTTTTTTGTTGAAACGGCAGACATTCTTCAAGCGGAAAAAAACATGAGGCTGATGAGGCGGAATATATTGTGTACCAGTGGCGTCTCTAGGTATATATGTAAACATTGACATATTATCACACATTGTCTTGAGTTGTTTGCTTAGAGGTTCGGAAAACATATATAAACAAAAAACGATTGCAATGACATTCACAATTGAACCATTAACTCCTTTCGATTCCTTTTGTTGTCCTGTCCAACATCAAATCGAAACGTAAACCGTTCATCACGGTTCTGTGGAGTTCACCACCGATTGGTACCACCTGTTTGCAATGGTCATCTTAAATCGGAGCCGTGCCATCCACGTAACCAGGAGGATTCCAGGGAGAATAAAGCCTTTCCAAAAAGTAAACCCCCAAAATGTCAAACCTGTCCAAATATATATAAACCCCAAATATTGATACTGTAAAAATTCGTAGATCCCCACGTAGTACATGTACTGGACACCGTGCCACGATTACTGTCCATTTGGGGATGTTTTTCAAATTTACAACGCTCCACTCCTCTCTCCCACATCATCCCAAATCAAATTTAAAATCGTTCCCCATTCCCCCGTCACGTCCAAAATCACCAACTCCCTCATTCCCCGTCATCCCATTCTTCCTGGGTCAATACTCGGCAATGTGAAAGCAACTGTTGATATTTTTTGATGTGGATTTTGAAGTGGCGTGCATCTCTTTAGTGCATGTCGTACCGGGGTATATGTATATATTTTTGGTCATGGGTGGATATAGCGACAGCATCAACCACAACAAGAACTTCTCTCTCCCAACAGAATTGCTTCTGTTCATTGGACAGCGGCCAACAACAGCAAACCCACACATTTGACCTCCCGTGTCAGTCTCTTTTTGCAATAGAATCGCAGCTATCCTATGTGTCTTGAAATCTTGGGAACTGTGCTACGTTGAAGGTTGCTATTGAAGTCTAATGAAAAAAATCTATTTCGAGTAGTCCCCACCACGACACACTTCAATCTCACAAATTTTCTGGCATGTATTGAAACATCTTTTCGGCATTCTTTCTTCTGACACTCTTTCTGAGGTTCTTTCTGGCATCCTTTCTGGCATATCTTCTGACTCGCTGTTGAGGTCCGGCGGGGAACACTGCCAGCCGGAGCTCGCGGTTGAGGTCCAGCGGGGAACACTGCCCGCCGAAGCTCGCGGTTGAGGTCCGGCCGGGAACATGGCCAGCCGAAGCTCGCGGTTGAGGTCCGGTGGGGAACACTGCCATCCTGCACTTGTGGTTGAGGCCCGGAGGAGGAGGCGGAGGAGGAGAAGAAGGAGGACGGCAGCTGACATAAAATCTAACAACCCTCACCTGAAGGGTGGGGAAAGAAGTGTCCTTTCCCAGGATTGCTGTGTTAATTAACTCTATGCCTATGACAAACACACAGAGATTGAAAAGGCTATGATGGCTTGTCAGCAGTGTAGACACCTGTTTTGTCGGTTGTAGAGCAAAGAAAACATCACACGAGTAGTGATGGATCCTTGTTAGCAAAATCACTGCATGAACATATCAATAGAATGTAATTAGAGATGAAACAAACCCTGCAAGACTGTTCAGCGCAAAAGCTGGCATTGCTGGTGCAAGGGGCATGGTCATTCTGCGCTGTCTCCACAGCAGCTTGACAAAACACTGCAGTGACCACCTGCGCTTGGGTCGATGAGAGCCATCTCCCGGCTGTGCATAGCAGCAAGCCTCATAAATCAACAAAGTGTTGACCAATAACGTGCTACAATATTCTAACGAGTTGGTTCAACATGGTTTAACGATTCAACCTTATTCATGACTCATGACTCACAAAAACCTGGCCTTAAGCACTCTGCGGAAAGGAAAAGGAAGAACCCCCAACTCACTAAGACCGTCAGGAGCCCTGGTCGATCTTATAAAATGAACTGACCGTGTCAACGTGTGCCAAGTGTAGCACTCGTATGCACTCGTCGCAGTGAGTATTCAGGAAACAGTCAGTAGCCCTGTGCAGCCACGACCCCCACCTCCCAAGCAACACACCACCTTTAAAGAAAGACCTTCCCCATACACCCTCCTTGGGCCCTCCATGGGCCCTTCCATGTTGTGAGGTAAACCCGGACCAAAGCCTTCTCATTTGAGGGCCCAGATTCGTTTTTGGTGTACATAGGGAGACTCCCAAAGACTCCATGAAAGATTCCATGAAAGATTCCATGGTCTAAATAGACCTGTCTACCCAGGCAGGGGCAAGAAAGGGGTCTCCCTATTCAAATACACCTCCACCAGCAATTCCATGGAATAGTTTTTAGTCCCATCCAGTGAATGGATGTTCTGGGCACCCCGAATTCCTCCTAAAACGTCACCTAAAACCCATGGGTTGGTGGTCCCTAGGATGGTGTTGCACTCCCAAATATAGGGGGTCAGGGTCACTTGATCTGTATGGCGTCTGAATCCTCGCCTCGTGAGACGAGACACTTCAAAAAACCAGGGTGGACCGCGACCAGGCCCTCCACCCCACGGGGCCGCCCCAGGCCCGCCCGGCCCTCCAATCTGAAGAAGTGTCCCATCTAAAATCCACACACCAGGACCTTCAAAGTGACCGTCCTTGCTATCCCAGGACGGCGTCACTTAGGCCCGTAAAAGGTCACTTACAGACTCCAAAGAGGCCACTTTGAAGGTCCTGGCACCTCATGTTGATTTTGCAAATGCCATGAAACAAATCAAGTCTAGTTGATTGGACACCAAGACTCCACACTCAGACCAACCCCACATAGCCCTGCCACAGGCCCCGTGGGCAGCTTCAACCCCAAAGAGAACAGTAAGGCGATCCAGTCCAGTGCTTCATGTTTTCAACCTTTCAGGTCTGGTAAGAATCATAATTTTGACTGCCAAGGAGCATTCAGCACCGTGAAGTAGGTGAAAAAAATGTAGAACAAGTACACCACGGCCCAAATCGGCGAGATATACCTGCGCGGGACACTGAACCCGGCACGCAACAGGGGAGACGGGGCTCCGGTGCTCGCTTCTTTTCCGGCGTGCAGTTTTTTGAATCGAAGCGAGACATGATCGAAGATCCACATGAACAACAGGAGACAATTAGATGCTCAAAAAGGACAACGTGTTTTTCACTCTTGATGTTTTTCACCCCGCCCTTTTTTCATTCTCGACCTTTCTTTTTCACCCTCTGAACATTTGTTTAACCCTCTACCCTCTTTTTGACCTTCTACCCTTTCTTTTTCACCCTCCTTCCTTTGGTTGGAGTGTTGGTTGGTTGGGTAGCTTGATGTTGATTGGCTGCGTGATACAGTGATTGATGGATCATGGACAGTGAGACAAATGTTACTTTTTGTTTTGTTGGTTGGTTGACTTGCTTGATCGATGTTGATGGATTGTGTGATACAGTGCTTGATGGACATGCATTTTTCTGTTTGTTTGTTTTTTGGATGGATGGATGCTATTATGCAATCCAAGTATCGCCAGCCAGCTTTTGGGTAAAACACGTGCAGTGATTGATGGGTCATGGACAGGGATGGTTGGTTGGCTTGCTTGTGTGGTGGGTGGATGGATGCTCTTTACATAAAGGCGGGAGGGGGTGCAAACCAAGTATCGACGGCAATTTGGAGAAATCACCAGCGGTGGGGAAGAAGAAGAAGACTTTGCACCGCGCAGGCAGGGCGCCCGCAGCGCCCAAGCAGCGACACCCCACAGAGAGACGTCACGTCAGGTCACCTGAGAGAGACAGCCTTAGTTCAGAAGTCAAACGCCGCGCAAACGGCCGTACACCCCAGGGAAACGCCTGCCCAAAGCACCCAACCAAGGTGCAGAGCAGACGCCACAGAGAGACATCCACTCACACCAGAAAGTGATCCAAAGAGCCAAAAACCAACACCTCAGAGAGGTGAGGGTCAGTGAGCCTTAGTGTTCCAAGTTTGTTCCTAGCCAGCAATGAGTCTGATTCACCTGAGAGGTCGAATGTGAACTCAACCGCCATCCAAAACGGGCCAAGAAAAGACAATCGGGTTTATGTGGAGCTTCGGGAGGACGAGACGGACACGTCCAGGACAGAGCAAGACGCCGAGGGCACGCGAGAAAAGGTGGCAGGACTGAAGGTGGCACCCAAACCAGGAGCGGCCGCTTGAGGGGAGCACAAAATCCACGAACGGACATCCTCGACATTGATGGAACGAAACACAGCAACCCGACTCAGACCACTGTGAGAAGATCCAAGCACGCCAACCCAGGCGGCAGTTGAGCAACGCCAACAAGTTCGAGAGAATGATGAGAAGGTTGGACGGACGCATCGGCGGAGACCTGAGCCGCAGGGTGACGCCGACGGGTCACCCAAGTGACGTCAAGATGCAAGTTGCCCCCCCCACAAAGAGGGTCCGCAACCAAGAGGAACTACAATGGACACTCTGGGCCGGGGACCAGAAACACGATCAGAGGGACTTGCAGGAGGCCAAAGTGGGACAACGACCAGCCCAACCAAAGTTGACCTTAGACAAGGAGAACTGCACAAAGGTGACGAAGATGGACCGCCAGAAAAAAGGCCACAGCAACCAAGGAGACGAGTACACTTTTTTTTTAAGCGAGCAGTTTTGTCAGGATCAAAGGCTCGACGGGCGGCCCCAGAGGCAGGACGCTGGACACGGACCGCAATCAACTGCCTGTCGCACATGGTCTTTCCTGAAGACTTGCGATATGAGCTTCTCACCTTTAGCAACCACATCAAATCCATTGAGCATACTGCCACGCCTGTTTGAGGGGTGGACCAACATCTTGCATGGAGGGGCAGTCTGGTAAGAAGCCAATCCACTTCTCAACCACAGCTGGTTGAGAAGCACCATCTTCTGGTTCACAGGATCATTGGATCCCAGGATCCTGTCAGCCACATTTCACATCCCCAGTCAAAGCCACTGCTCAGCAATGGCCTTGCAAAGGTGTACTGCAATGCAAGTGTGTTCCAGCATAGTTGCTACTTTGTGGTTGCAAAAGTGAGGAAGGGAGCATTTTGCTACCATGCATGGCTTTCTTCTCTGCTGTGCTGAGCACAACACAGCTGCGCTCAAACAATTGCGATTTCCATATCCAACCAACAAGGTAGAAGAAACAACAAGGCAAGACTCATGCAGCCTTATGGCTCCAACCCTAAACATGCAGCCAGACAAGGGCTCCAAACCCAAAGCAAGCAGCCAGGATGGCTCCAACATGTAAGGCAAACAGCCATAGTGGCTCACTGTCTCACTAGAATACACGCTCATAGTGGCTCACTAGAATATATATGTATCTTCGTACTTTTGTTAAACCAGCTAAAGGTTTAGCAAGGTTAGCTGAAAGGTTCCCATCAACATTTCCTTAGGTTTCTTTAGGTAGCTTATGTTGTTTAGCAGAGTTATGTAAACCACTCAAGAGTTTATGAAACTTATAACATCTTGAGATAAAGTTGGACACAACTTGGGCATGACTTACAATGCATTACTAAACACCTCAACATGTTGGCAAAACCCCCCAGCACATCTAAGCTAAATCGCAAAAATATTGGTTTTAGCAGCATTTTCGGTCAAACCAACATCAGAACTCCATTGCAACCAAGCATTAAGCGTCTGAAGTGAGAGGGTTGCAAAGAAAGGGTCGAGGGTGAAGAAGACAGGGTGAGGGGTGAAAAAAAACAAGCTGAAGGGTGAAAGAAACATGCTACAGGGTGAAAATGACAAGGTGCAGGGTGAAAACGATTGGTTTTAGAAGGGTGAAACAAAAGGGTTCCAGAGGGTGGGGAAAACATTATTGAGTGTGGAAAAAAAGGTTTCGAGGGCTGAAAAAAAGAAGGGTGAAAAACACATTGTTCAAGGGTGAAGATAAAAGGAGCCCCTCAAAAAATGAACATAAACAAAATGTCTTGCTGGAACAAACAGGAAGCAACAACACAAAAGAAACAGGCGCCTTTTTTGCGGGTTCAGTCAAGCAAATCACTCACGTGACAGCGAATGTGGAGGCTGGCCATGACATGCCATGACCCACTAGGCTAAGCGACAACAGGTCCAAAAGGAGGACTAATGATGACAACCAAAATAGGACCATGAGCAACCAAACATGTGGATCTGAACACAGGGTCCCGTTTCTTTGGGTTATGGTCCTGTTTGGTGCTGCCATTGCCATTTAGTAGGGATCCACATACTCTCTGAGAAGGTGATGTGTTCGACACTGTTATGTAGGTGCCAGGTGTGGGACGTGGGACGTGCTTGGTATTATCATTGTCATTGTGTGATTGTATATTCTTTGGGGCTCCAGCCATATCCTGAGATTGTATAGTTAGACCCCAAACCCACCTCAACCATCTTCTCAAGAGGTAGTTGGAGCCCTAGGGGATCCTAGGGGTATATTGTCTGTGACATTGCTTTGTTGTCTGTGACATACTCTGCTGTCATGATAGGATGGGTTGTCTCCAAAAATCCAGCTGTTCCAATCCTGCCGGATGGAAGAACTTTCCACTCATCTGACTCACGTTGCTTCAAAAGCACCAGTACAAGTCTTCATCTGGTGGTCACTTCGCTTGAAATGATGCACTCGACCCTTGAGCCGAGCCTATGTGCTCTCACCCACCAACCGATTCCACCCGCCTCAGGGGTGCCAGCACTTGATTCCAACCTCGTGACCGACGACCGTCACCGCTCGTGGCTGGGTTGGGCTCGGAAAAGTTGAGGATGGCAGCATGACGAGCCTTCACAAGGCGTCAAATGGTCATCGTGAAACCTATAGATGTCACCCCTCAAAACATACTTATTCAAAAGAGATCGGCTGCCAAACCATCTCTTTGATATCCCTTTCTGACCATCAACACTTCTAGATTCTAGCTCTGATTCGTCCAGCCAACTTCAGTAGAACAAAGCAGCAAGCCCCTCCACCCGTAAGTCGAACGACGAAGGCGAACTCTACTGCTAGATCTTCCACATTGGTTCATGAAACATCACAAAACCAAACTCCTGGCACAGCTTTCCAACGATTATCATGAGTATGGTCAGCTGGCAACAATTTGCAACCTATAATGAGGACCTAATTAATGGAACCACACCAAATGAGATCTGTCTGGCGGTATCTTCGATGTATCATTGAAATCACTCACGATCACAGTATTGACCTCTCAGAATACCTGGCAGCCACCAACAAAAACCGTCCAAATCCCATACACTCCATGGGACTGCTATAGAACTGCCGATCAATGGACCCCGACTTCAACCACCCCTGGCCGTTTCTCGCCAGTCCGCCAGTCCAGCTGGTCGTGTCTGGGAATGGGAAAACACCCATCTGCGCATCTCGGGCGTTGACCCATCGTGCGGTTGACCCATCGTTCACTCAAACCCTCATCCAAACCGTCCAGACCTCGCGAGGCGACCGACATCTGCGCGAGATCATCGCGCGAGCGACGGCGCGACGGAGCGAGCATCGGTCCAAGAGACTCACTCCATTGGCGATGGATTCAAAAAGGCTCAGCATCGTATCATCTGACGGAGACGACCGCGGGATGACCGAAACGAGCAACAACAAGCTAGCCTTCGACGCAACAAGAACCAAATCAGATCGTAACATGAGGAGCAGCAAAACTGTATGCTGAATGTATGGATCTTTGAGTACACCTTCGCCGCAATGACACTTCAAGGCATCTCACATTTAGATGACTGTGAGTCTTGAAGCTACTAGGGGCTCCTGGCCTCGCTACTAGGAACAAGGACGCTACTA